TTGATCGAGGATCGGGTTTCTCGTAGGCTTCATGTCTTTGTTTGTGAATTTTTTTTATTAAAGGAATTGAAGGCCTGATATGAATGTATAAAATAAATATTTCGGTCAAATTCATGACTGCATATTTATCCGATAATTTGAACCCTATCTACCTCTATTTATCTTCTTATGAGGATCGGGTTTCGTAGGCGTCATGCATTTGTTTAGTGAATTCTTTCGATTATAGGCCTTGAAGGCCTAATATGAATGTATTAAAACAAATACACCGGTCGCCACAACTGTGTATTTGTTTGAGAGTTCAAATCCTGTCGACTTCTATTGATCCGTATAGAAGGATCAAGTTCGAACTTGAATTCATTTGTCAACACGCGCAGCATCCCTAGACGTCACGTGTGTACTAATGACACGCTCGCCGGAGCCCATGCGGGTTATGATTGTATTTACCCCTTTAGTGTACCTATGTGCATACAATTTATGGTGCATGTGCAGGGGTATTTTGAGATATTTGTAAACGCCTTCTGCCCTCTTGCATGGGTATTGCGGGTCCGGTGGCAAACATTATACTTTATGGATGCCTTCTATCTGCTTGTACGAATATTGCAGATCCAGTGGCGTTATGACCTTGATGTTATGAGGCATCTCATCTTGATATTGCCCCCCCCCCCCCTTTCTCATTCACCGGGGAGGTTTCTTTTGGAACTTTGAAGTCCGCTGTTTTGAAAAGAACTTTTGTCAGGATCATCAGTATAGTAGACTTGTTATTTCTGATATTTGTGGATGCAAGCATTATTTCCTTCCTGAGTACAGGATCAAGAAGAAATTTTGGAACACCATGAAGTTTAGTTTGAATTTGCTCAAACATCTCCATTCTGCCATAGGGTGTTCTTTTTTGTATATCGAGTTGCCCTTGTACCCGACATACCCGTAGGCCTTAATCACCATTGTCGTAGGTGATATTTGTACTTGTGTCCACAATGGTTCGTTGTGCTTATGATATACACATTATTTTTATCCTCAAGTATTCATTTGCAGGGGACCGTTGTATCCACTACGATCTCCCAGAAGTGTTTGTAGGAGAGCCGTTGTCCCTAAAACATATCCACCTTTCACCAATCTCAGGTGGACTGGCGTACTTGCTTGCAAGGATGAATCTTCTACTATCAATTGAAAATGTTGCCTTCTTCAATCAACATGCGTTGTTTCTAGTGTTGTTGTAGTCTCCTTACATATGTTTGTAAGATAAATCACCATATCTTCATTTGCATGCCATTTATGTTTGAAGACTTTTTACCACTAGTCCTTTGCTTGTATCAAATGCTTGTGTTCATTTGAGAACATAGAATTTTCACATTTTTAAGAGCATTAAGTTCGAATTCCTTGCATTCCGCATTGAGTTCAACTGTAGTTCAAAGTTCTCTGTATTTATTTCTTTTGAATTCAAGTCCCAATTCAGGTGTACAAGTTCAAGTGCTCGTTCAGAGTCTTCTAAAGTCCTTGCAAGTTCAATTGAGTACTCAATTTGGTTTGAATTCAGCTCCAATTTGATTTCATTTCATTTGGATTAGAGTTTGAGTCAGGTCCTTGTTATCACTTTGATTCCAAGTTCTTAACACATTTTGTTCATATTGGATTCAATTCATTTAAGTTCATTTTCATAGGTCCCCTACTCGTGTTCAATCAAGTTCAACGGTTCACAGTCATTGTTCATTAGAGTCCAAGTCCTTATTCTCTTGAGTTCAAACAGGTCCAAGTCGAGTAATATTTCACACGAAATTTCGACCGCCTCCCGGCGTCTCCCCCGTTTAGGGAAAAACTACGGAGAACTGGGCCTTTTCCACCACGCGCAATAAAGGCGTGCATGGTAGGTGCCCTCTTCGAGAACACCGAGGCCGTGTAAAGTCTTTGTCCCACAACGCGCAATAAAGGCGTCCATGGGTCTTCGGTGCCTGTTACAAGAAAATAGCAATTTTCTTTCCCACCGTCCGAGAGTACTTATGAATGACCCTATCTCGTCGTGGGTGCCGCACCGGGGTCCCATCCCACCACGCGCAATAAAGGCGTGTATAGGCGGTTTGCTGGTGCACCACGAACGCCGGAGTAGAGTTTAGGTGATTTCACGCCTCGTCATAGGCGTCGCACCGGGGTCCCATCCCACCATGCGCAATAAAGACGTGTATAGGCGGTTAGCCGGCTCGTCGCACACACCGAGGGCAGGGTTTCGAAGGCCGAGGGGTTGCTCGCCTACGTCGTCGTAGGTGTCACACCGGGTTCCCTCCTACCACGCTCAACAAAGGCGTAAATAGGTGGTTTGCTGGCTCGACACGCATGACGAGGCAGGAGGGCGGTGGGTCGCTCGCTTACCTCATCGTAGGTGTCGCACCGGGTTCCCTCCTACCACGCTCAATAAAGGTGTGCATAGGTGGTCTGCCGGCCCGACACACACACGTGAAATAATAATAATAATTATTATTATTATTATAACAAATAAAAATAAAATACCTATACCTAAAGAGCTCGATCACTGGAGCAGAGGGGTAGAAAGTCTGAAGGTGTCAGATTAAGGAGATGGAGGTCGGGTATAGGTGAGGTTCGGCTAGATGAACAGAGCAACTAAATGGATCTTCAGCTACTATGAAGTTTCGATCGGCCTTGGAGGAAGACCGAGTATGGGAAGAAGAGGTATGGAAGAGGCTTCGGCTAGGTCATGAGGAGGGGAGAATAGGAGTATGCGTTGGCTAGGTAGAGAGGAATCTCTCTCTCTCTCTCTCTCTCTCTCTCTGGACGAATGAATCGGGAGATGGAGGTGTTGGGTTGGAGGCGACTTGGGCTTAGAGGTGGAGTTTGAACTTCGGGAGTCCTGCAAATGGGAGGAGACGGAATGGTCTTCGGCTAGGGATTCGTAGAAGACCGGATAGAGGAGGAAGGAAATGCCATGGGGTTTTTGAAGGCTATGGGAGGACATCCGAGAGAAGAGCCATGGAGGGTGTTTGGTCGCGTGATGAGCGTGGAAGGAGCGAAGTCGTGTGTGTATATCAGCCGAAGAAGTGAGACCTCTCTCCAATTTTAACAACGCAAATGAGCGAGAGTTTCGCATATGGGAGAAAAGACATGAGTTCGGCGCCGCTGCAAAGGAAAGGACGACTGTGGAAGTGATGAGAGCAGCGATTTGGGTGAGATTTTGCCACAGGTAATGATTTTGAGCCCCTTTTTTATTTGTTTTGCCTTTTTGCTTTTTGGTTATGGTATGGAGGTCAACAGCATTACAGCTATTTGATAAGATAGTTCATCTCTCTCCTACATGTAGATAGGAGAATTAAACCTAGAAAAGTCGTTCAGGATTACATTAGAAGGAATAGGGACGAGCTCAGTGTTTCACTCTTAACAAGGCTTGTGGACATGCACACCAAATGTGGTGAAATCAACCTTGCACTCAATCTTCGATGGAAGTTCAAGTAGAAATCGTTTCACTTGGAACTCCATTATAGTTGGTTTAATAATGCACGTGTATGGAAAGCTTTTATTTGATTACTTCCACGAGATGAGAGCTGATAGAGTTATGTCAGATGGCATCGCCATCTTGGGTGGTCTGGTGGCTTGTGGTCATTCTAGGTTTGTAGAGACTAAAAGAAGGGTGTTTGGTGATATGGAGAGAGTGTTTGGAGTGAGGATTGAGTTAAAGTATTATGGATGCATGACTAACTTGTTTATGATTGAGAAAGTGATGGAGATGATTAAGGAGATGTTGATGAAGGGAGATGTAAATGTTTGGAGGGGAGTGCTATCTGGTTGTCGAATTCATTGTAAAATTGTTGAGGTTGAGGTAAGGAAACAGGTGGAGATTAATCCAAGGGAACATGGGTTAATTCGATTATGGAAATGATTTATGTAGATACAAGATGGAAAGATGCGGAAAGATTAGGAAGATCTTGGATTCTAGAAAAGTGAAGAAGAATATTGGCTTTAGTTTGGTTCAATTGCTATAATGATAATATTATTCAAATCTCGCATATTTGTATATCTAATATACTGGTTAAAACATTAGAACTAAAAATCTCATATATTTTATGCATTTTAAGACTAACTCATTCATTTTTTTATATATTATGTACTTGGTAGTTAAATTATGTAATAAGATTTTCACATTTCTAATAAATTGTTTTGCGATATCTTGTAAAATTATAGAATTGTTTATGTATTTGAGGTTATTATTTCAAAATTTGAAGAACTATATATTTTTCTTAAGGTTTTGCGATAATCATCAAATTATGTTTTGCTATTTTGAATCATTTAATATAAATGGTTCAAAAAATCAGATTAATGTGAATATTGATTGATTGGTAATTGAGGTTACATTAATCTTAGTGGTTCATCACTTTTTATAAATACATATATATTGTCATTCCATCCATATGAATACATCACTTAATTTAAAAATCATTAAATTAAATTTTATTTGCATACTTATATTCAGGTGATCATCCTTTTTTCCCTTAATTCAAGGCTCCATTAAATTCCCATCTATAAGTGATAAGGTTTATAAAAAGGTCAATTGTTGATATTTGTTCTTATGGGTTGACAACGGACTATAAATCCACCATAAGCGTTCATTTTGTGCAAGTCGTATGATACCAATTAATATGATCTTATTCAACCTTCAAAAACAGGATAGACACGTTTACTCTGATCAAAGAGGGCAAAAATCAAAGGAAAATTTTTGCTTAGCATGAGCTTTTCCGAGCAACTATTTAGAGTATTATGATTCAATTGAGGAATTTATTTCTTCATAGCCTTGCGTTACCCACAAACAAACCAATCACAGTTAACATGATCTTCCTATGATTGCAAATCAAAGTAGAAATGCTTTATTACTTCTTAGGGTATTTTAAGTCTGCGTGTGAGGGGAGTCGATAAAGGAAAGGAGTTGAACTTCAAACAAGATGATGAAATTTGTTAAACTCAGAATAATAAAAGGAATTGCCAAAGTGGAATGGATTACTTACCTCCACATCACAACTTCTAATCATGCATGGCTCAACTTTAATCATACAGAAGCAAAGCAATTATGACATTTTGAACAATCCAATCTTCAAACCAAATCCTTCAAAATTTTTTCAGCTTTATTCTTGAGACGATCGTCCTTTCTGACTATGTTGAGAAGCAATCCTTTAAACCTATCTAACTCCATTTCTGTGATACCTGGATGCCCACAAATCTTACTGAATAGTTCAAGTGTCTGCTCCTTAGCATTCAATTCTCCCCTTTCAAGCACCTCAAGTATTGGTGTTGCACCATGGCTCTCTACAATGGTGGTCGCAGCTCCAATAAAACTGCAACCAGGATCAAACAATGTGTCAAGTGCCGCCAAAGCGGCTTCAGTCAAACCAAACTCCATAGTTTTCATCATCTCTATCAATGGCTTCACTGCCTTATCCATTACAAGGCAGATGGAACGCTGTTGTGAGCAGCTGGATTTATGAACAGGACAACCATCTACTTCCTTCACCGACATTCTTATGTTAACAAGACGGCGACGGCCAAAGTGCGAAGATTGAGATGAGCTGGGTTCTAATGATGAATCGGTAGTGCACCGAGATAGATGAGAAAGAATCATGGCGACTCGCTGCTTGGCAAGAGTGCTGCCAGTCGAGAGAGTTTCAATTAGATCAGTTCGTAGAAGATTACAGGCTTTTTTCTGAAACTTTGGATTGGATTGGGATTGTTTTACGCAATGTAACAATACTCCGAAAGCATTCTCTAACAACAAATAGGATATATTTGAATGAGTTATTAGAGCATGGATGGATTTCAGCACAGCTGAGTTCAGCAGCAACTTATTTATGCATTTGTCATTAGCAGGAAGATGAATGAGGATGCTGGCCGCAGCAGCATATAGCTCTTCATCAATCCGTTTCTCAGTGAGCAAAGCTATAAGGGAACTAACTATTGATTCTTTGGAAGGTGAAGAGGGGAAAACTATATGATGGTTTCCTGCAAAGTAGGATATTAGCTTCAGTGCATTAACTTTGACCTGGTTGTTTTGATCCAGAATAATGGCAGAGAAGAAAAAGCTCATTGCATGATGATCAGAAACTATCCACTCTCCTGTTGCAGCAGAGTTCTGAGCCATAACGAGGAGAAGGCGAAGCAGTGAGATTTGGTCCGCCGGAGCCGAGGTTGTGACCTGGTTAATTATGTCTTGTATGCCATTTGAGGAGAAGAGAGACTGCAAGCCAGGATGGCTGGGTTGAGACGTCTGAATGAGTAAAATCAGAATCTCTAGTGCTTTCTGTTTCAATTCCTCCTCAACAGTTTTGCTATTTATGAGACAGAGTAGAGCAGGAACGGCACATTCATTTTTGAGGAAGCAAGTCCTTAGTTCATTGAAAGCTATGAACTGTTTGATGCATTTGAGGGATGCCATTTTGCCAGACGGATAGTGGCAGCTGAGCATCTCAGTTAAATGAACAATTAATTGCTCATTTTCTAAGTTCCTCGCATAAGTTTCTGATAGTTGAATCTGTGCTAGTTCTTCTGCCATATAAGCTCTGATCTCATCGGAAATGTCTGCTTAAATAAAAACAGAAAAAGAGCATTACTAAGCAATGGGAGTAAGGAAGCTTGTGGAATGTGTTTATCAGTGTGTTGGCTCTGGAAGGCAAACATTGGTTGATGTGATCGAGGAAGGAATGGTTTCAGGAGGTTCGTTAAATAGTTGATACAACAAGTCATTTCACCTTTTCTTAAGGACATAATATACTCATGATTAGAAACTTTTTATAGATGAAAGCTCCAATGATCCGTTACAAGAAAAATAGCTCAAAAGACAATTATGCATTAACAAAAAATTAAATTTATAGAAAAAACAAGATGAATTAATTTTGTCTTAAGAAACTCATAATTTTAAGCATTGTCATATAGTAGTAGACGAAGACATTATCACTCTTTACATAACTGTGTTATAGTTTCTAAAATGGTCTCGTAATTTATACAGAACAAAAAAAAAAGCTACGTTTTTTTATACAAAATGTTATCTTGTGCTTGAATAATTGTCTTGCACTCGTGAATCATTCTTCAATCAAGAGATTGGGATTTAATGTTTTCCATAATTATCCTTCCAATCACAGGATCAATTAAGGATAGTTTGAGAGCTTTAAATTAGATTTTACCGTGATGGATTCCATTCACGCTGACAGACTGCAAGAAAAAAAAAATTCAAAGGACTCCGCTCTTATGCACAAAAGTAGATGAGTTTGATGGCTTTAAATAGGGGTTATATGGGTCTAGATGATGTCAAACATAATATAATTTTATGATTCTATCATTTCTATGTTTGTTAGAAGGCCGTAGTCTAAATAGTCTGAGGACAATGGCATTTATGTTTTGAATTTAGAGATCTTTATCAGTAATTATAAACTACATTATCCAAGAAGACCATAAAAAAAGGGTACAAAAACTTACCTAGGAGGCAAAATTCGTGACAGACCTCAACTAATAAAGGTTTTATTCCATGCCAAAATGTCATACGACTCACAATTTCAAATATATTGCCAGCGGGGAACGTAGGAGTTTGGAAATGTGCTCTAGTTAGCATGGTTTAGGAGCTCATTGACCGACCAAATCAATGCTTTGCACTTGATCCGAACAAGTATATTATTTTTCTCTGTGATATATGATTACATTGGTATAACACTGATTTCTTTCATAAATTTTATCCAGATTTAACTTAAATGCTCGTGGCTAGGCTGAGCCTTAATGTAGATGACGTAGATGAGTGATAGCTCTTTCAACGCAACAAATGTTTATTATTTAATTTTTAATTGTTTTTTACCTTTTTTATGATTCATAGGAAGATAAATATTATGTGCATTCAAAAAACTAAATGGGTTGGAGAGCCTATAGAGATTGATAGTTTAGGATTTAAACTTTGGTATTCGGATATGAGTCGTATTGGAAATAGTGTAGATGTTATTATAGATAAGAGTTTGAAGGATAATGTTATTAAAATTAATATAATTGGAGATATAATTATAACTTTAAAGATTGTTGTTGATGATAAGATTGTTAATATTATAAGTGCTTATATTCCTGAAGTAGGTTTGGAAATGAGTTTAAAATTAAAATTTTGGAAAGACTTAAAACAATTAATACAAAAGATGCCTCTTGACGAAACAATTTTTATTATAAAAGATTTAAATGAACATGTTGATAGAGAGATAGATGATTTTAAAAGCATTCATGGTGGTCATAAATTTGGAACGACAAATGAAGGTGGTAAGACTATATTAGATTTTTTTTAGCTTATGATTTTTTAATTGGTAATATCTTATTTAGCAAAAGGGATGAGCATCTCATCACTTACAAAATGAATCCAGTAAAAATTAGATTGATTATTTTCTTATAAGAAAATTAGATCATTTAGATTGCAAAGATTGTAAAATTATTTCGAGTGAAATTTATGTATCCAACATCGATTATTAGTTTTGGATTTTAAGATAGAGGGGCAAAAAATAAAAAAATAAAGTAAAATAATATTCTAGGATTAAATGAAGGCATTTAAAGAATATTAATAAAAATATTTTTTAGAATAAGATTTTAGATCTAAAATTTTGTCTATCCATGAGGATGCTAATGTTATGTGGGAAAAAATGACTAGTGATATTAAGAATATTGCAAAAGATGCATGGAATATCAAAGGAAAAAGTTTCTAATAGTAAAAATACTTAGTGGTGGAATCCAAATGTACAAGAAAAGATAAAAATAAAGAAAATTTATTATAAAAATTGATTTAGACGTAAAAATTCTAATAATTGGGAAAGATATAAAGAGGCACATAAGGAATCTAAGAAAGCAATATGCGATACAAAAATCTTAGTTTTTAATGATTTATATAATAAATTAGATCCTAATGAGGGAGAAATATATATGTATAAGTTAGCCAAACAAAGAGATAAGAGTAATAAGGATTTAGTTCAACTAAAGTATATTAAAGATGAAGATCAAAAAGTACTTTTCTTAAAAGATAATATTTAACAAAGATGGATGAGATATTTGCTAAACTTTTTAATGAAGAATGTGAATTATAATTGACTTTAGTGACCTTTGCACCCTAAATGAAAATAAAGATTTATGATTTATCGGCGTATTAGTAAAAGCGAAATTAGAGAGGTTTTAAATAAAATGAAGTGTGGAAAGCTGTAGGACCTGATGCTATTCCAATAGAAAGTGTGGAAATGTTTAGGAGATCAAGGAATTTCTTGACTTACTAATATTTTAATATTGTTTTGAAGACTAAAAAGATGCTAGATGAGTAGAGAATAAGTGTGTTAACTCATATTTTTAAAAATAAATGTGATGCAGAAGATTGTGTGAATTATAGAGGAATTAAGTTAATTTGTCATACTTTAAAACTATGGGAGCAAGTTATGGAGCGCAGGTTGCGGTGTGATACTGAAGTTTCTCAAAATCGATTTGGATTCATGTCGGGTAGATCTATTATTGAAGCCATACATTTATTGAGAGGTTTGATGGAGAAATATAGAGAGAATAAGGATGATCTACATATGATATTTATCGATTTAGATAAAGCATATGATAAAGTTCCAAAAGAAGTGCTATGGAGAGTACTTGGAAAGAAAGGAGTTAATAATGCTTATATTCAAATCATTAAAGATATGTATGCAAGAGCTATTAACTGTGTTCAAACACAAGGTGGTTTGACCAAGTATTTTCCTATTTCGATTGGATTACATTAAGGATCAACCTTAAGCCCATATCTTTTTTACTTTAGTCATGAATGTTCTCACTAGACATTTGCAAGAGAAAGTACCTTAATGTATGCTTTTTGCTGATGATATCCTTCTTGTCGATAAGACTAGAGAGGGAGTTGAAGGTAACTTGAATTATGGAGGTCAACCTTAGATTCTGAAGGTTTTCTCTTATAATGCACATACATGAACATAGCGACACAGATATGACACAAAACGAACACACGACACGTCAATTATTGAAAATATAGGACACGGATATAGGTTAAAAAAGGTATTATAGTTTTTATATTTTAAAAATAGTGCATAAAAAATTAAATAAGTATAATTTAAAAAATTAAGTCATTTAATTAGAATTTATGCTTAAAATAATTAATATTAGGATGTCTTGAGTCGGACGTCAATATTGTTTATCAGTCATTTAGAGAGTAGATGAAAATACCTTCACCGCCAATAAAAATGAAAATGAGAATATTCGATGAAAGGGGTATTAAGTGCGGGTGATTGATTTGATGTTGTGAATAGGAAATAAAAATTTAGTTTATATATTTTAAATACAAGAAATTATATTTTTTAAAAATCATAAAATATTTAAGATACGCATGTCGGACACACGTGTCCAATTTGTATTTAATATTTTTTTAATCAGACACATTTTCGACGTGTCCGACATATGTCAGAGTGTTGGATGCGTGTTGAATAGGATACGAGTTAGATACTGCAGACCTCTTTCAGGAGAAAAGTCAATGCATCATAAGTTTTCGCTTGAGTAGATCTAAAACTGAATATATGGAGTGTAATTTTAGTAGTAATAAACTTGGTGAGGGGATTGTCACTTTGGGCGATCAAGTTATTAATAAGAGTACATGTTTTAGATATCTTGGATCTATTGTTCAAAGTGATGATGAAATAGATGGGGATATTATCAGCAAAATTTAAGTTAGATGGTTGAAATGGAGGAATGCATCGGGCTTGTTGTTTGATAGAAAAGTCCCCCTCAAACTTAAGGGAAAACTCTATAAGATGGAGGTGAGACCTACAATGCTTTGTGATGTCGAATGTTGGCCATTAAAAGAGAAGCATAATACTAAGTTAAGTGTTGCAGAGATGAGGATGCATAGGTGGATGAGTGGCTTTACTCTTAGAGAAAGGATACGAAATGAGCATAATCGTGAAAAGGTTGGAGTAGCTTCAATGGAAGATAAGATTAGAGAGAGTAGCCATAGATGATTTGGTCACATAAAACGGCAGCCTTCCAATGACCCGGTTAGGAAAGTAGAGGTATTAGATTTGAATTATGTTAAGAAATGTAGAGGTAGACCTGAAAAGGCTTATTTATAGAATATTAAAAATGATCTATCCTTATTAGATTTAAATGAGAATTTGACTCTAACAGGGCATAATGGAGAAAAATGATTCATGTAGCCGACCCCACATAGTGGAATAAAGGTTTGATGTTGTTGATGTTGTAGATGATCTCGTCACGCTACGCTTGCATAACGAACGGTTCCCATTTGGCACCAATTCCAAACTCAGCCCTAAGAAGATTGGTCATTTTCCAGTCAAGAGCCAAATTAACACAACACCTACATTATCAATCTTCCTACATGTTTAATGTGTATGATATCTAACATATCATTCTTATGACGTCTCCTCCACGGCAATCGCATCTGAGACGATGCTCTTCAGAAGCAGGGAGACCTGATGTGGACCATCTTATCCTCGACATAACTTATCCATTGATTTCCTCCCCACTTCCCTTATTCCCTAGTGTTATTCCATTTATGTTATGACAAGTACCATGACCCCTTTTTTTTTCTTTAGCTTATTAAAGAATAGTCAAATTATCTCTAAAAATATATACTCTCTTGTAATTAGAGGAGGTCATATAGAAGAATATACTACTGCTTAAGTTTATTGTTTCATTGTTTCCATGCTAGTTGTTCTCTGTTTTGGTTGCTACACCAGGAAGAGGTAACGTCATAGCAATGGTTTGATGTAGATTATTGTGTCTTGTTTTCTTCCTAAAAAAATTTTCATACTAATACCTTAAATTTATAGAGAGTAGAGGGGTTACCCATTCTTCCAAATTAATATGAGGCTAACATATGAGAGGGTGTCCGAGATTATTTTGAGAAAATTTTGGGTGCGGCCAAATACCTTGGGTCCTTCTCACCATGGCGACCATTCCATCCAATCTTCAAACGATGAGGCTTGTGGCTGACCCAAACAAATTGAAGAATGTCCATCATTGAACTTATGACTATTTTATCACACTGATTTGGGTTTCTAGTATGAACTAGCGTCATCATCACACCGCATCAACCTATATGGCGTAATTGACCCATCCTATGGTTGTCATCATTGCTATTTTGCGTAGGACATTATTATTGGTAAGCAATATAAAAACATTGCTGGAACTCACCTTGAGAATTGAATTGCACCAAGAACGGAGTGAAGAACCCAAACTTGGCCATCATAACAGTAGATTTGATATCAATGGTGAGGTTCTCCAGCACCTTACGTGCCATTTCTGCTACAGGAGAGCTTGGCTTGTCTAAAAACGAGATCAAGATGTGACTGGAGTATGGAATTCCTTCAATCTTTCCAGCAACAACCTTGTTTCTGGAGAGCTCCAGCAACACAGCAACAGCATTTGGCTCCGTCATACTATGTTTCAAAAGGCATTTGATCACTCCCCTTTTGCCTATTTTTTCCTGCAGCAGACAACAGAAAATTTCATTATTCATGCATGGAGAATCAAATTTTGAAAGAAAAAACACTAATAGCATTCACGGAGAGTTAATTACTCGCCTTGTTCTCATCTGAAAAGCGAGCAATCAGAAGCAGGCATTGCAGCACCGTGGAAGTATTTTCTGAACTGTCATTCATCAAGAGCTCTGCAAGCTTTGGAACAAGTTTGCAGGAGCTATCCGTGGCTGCACTGACGCAACTTGGAATCTTAATCATCAGATCATGCAGGTCACCAATTGCTCGGTTGGTGTCCTCCATGTTATCTAGGGTAATTTTTGCAGCCGTGTCTATAAACTTCTTCTTCGCATTCCTTTCCGCATTGGTTCGTTCTTCCCGTCTCTTCCACTCTAATATAGAGTTGCGAAGCGTGGAGTTCGATGTGAGTTCCAAATTCCCAGACGAAGAAAGCTCCTTGCTACAAAGAGGGCATAAATTTTGCCCCGCGTGGAAATAGTCCTCTATTGCTTTCTTCTCAAAGCTATGGTCGCAGGACACAGATACTGGATCCTCCAGAACCTCCCCAGTTAAGGGGCATAAGAAGAAGGAGCTTGGTGGTAACTGCTGGTACGAATCTGTATGCGGTCTATCACCTTCTTCTTGGACTTGGATCTGAAAAGGCAAAGGGCAGACGCTGCTGCTTGCGATACCTTTTGGCCTAGCAACCCTAAACCCTAAACTAGGCGAAGTTTGATGTTGATTCCCGCTGTTCTCAGAGACGTACTGGTCGAGACTAGAGAGGATTGCATTGGTGTTAGTCGAAAGCTTAAGCTGTATGGATTCAATACCGTGAATAATGGCGTCGGCAGCTTCTTTGATGTTTAGGGCTGTGTTGATTTCAGTGAGTGGGAGGAGCTGTAGAACGGCGTAGATCTCCTTGGAAGATTGATTCAACTTAGAGACAACGGAGCGGTATCTGAAGGGCCGGGATAGACGGTTTCTGGATTTGTACCCATCGATGACTTCCCGAGCTTTGTTGACCTCGGTTTCCATTCTCAGTAGCAAGCCGACTGAATTGGTAGTTGCGGGCTGTGATTGAAGCTTGCGGATAAGTTCTCTGACATGAATCATGAACCCGGCATATCGATGGAGGATATCCTCCTCGTGCTGGATTGTCTCAGCTGAGGCGATTAGGTCTGATAGCCCTTCGAATACTTTCTTGAGAGCCTCATCCCTTCCATTAGTTAGGAAGTCCATCCCGATCTGCTCTCTGTACTAGGTCTAGACCCCTGAATGAAGAACGGAATATCGAGATTTGGAGAGAGAAATGGAGAAAAAGAGAGCCGCCAGGCGCCAGTATAGACAGACGAGCGAATGGAGTGGAAAAGAGTAGACGCGGTAATGTGATTACGGGTAACGATAGAGGATTACGCGCCTGAGTTAAAAATAAGGGGCGAAAATTTACGATATTCAATCATTGTGAGATTTGCGGTAAAAGGTTTACTGTAAATTAAACAAACGCTTTTAATCTTCAAAGTCGTTAAAAGTCAGTTCAAACAGAAGCTATTACATATTTTAATTAGATGACCAATCGTTTGAATTGAGGAAAGACGGTCAATTCTATCAGATGATTTTTTTTTTTGAATGATCCTTTTGAATTCTTTATTTGAGATAGCAGTCATAGATTACATGGATTACATGGCTCTGAAATTGTTTCTGGTAGGGTTGTGCCCTAAAGAAATATTATTGTAATATATTTTCTATGAAAATAAATATTTAAAGACAAGTTTAGCATGTTTCGATATTATCATTTGATATAATATTTTTGTTCCATGATTATTTATACAATCATAATTCAGTATATAATTATATACAAGAGGATTGAATTATGGATAATAATCAAAACAAGTTCATAATTATTAATTATAGTTGGAATCTATGATTAAATATTATTAGTACGGTTCATCAACATTAAGAATGGAATAATCTTATCCAGATTATTCGATATGGAGATATTAAGGATGGATGTACTTTATATAATATGATTATATAGAACTGGACCAGATAAATTTTGAATTCTCTAATAAATTCTGTTTTAAT